TCATTTTTCAATTTCAAACGATATTGATATAATTGTAAAATAGGTCATAATATTAAATAATTTTTCTTTTTTTTTATGTCTAAATTTATAGAGTGGGATCCACATAGGTAAGATTGGTTTTATGCAACGAAAGAGATAGGGAAGGGAAAATTTTGTAAAATAAAAATATCAAAATTGTAAAATAAAAATAAAAAAAAACACAATTAGAAGGCTAACAGTCTCAAAATTTTAAATTTGAGGGGGTACAAGAGATTTTAGTGAAGCCAATGGGCCAATAGGGATGGAAGTTTCGGGAGAAGAGATAAATGTCATTTTCCCAATATTATATGCATAGTATATAAATATCTTATAATATACAAATATCTTATATTATATTATAATAAATATTATATTATATGTTATATATAATACAAATATACATTAATAAAATATATAAAACATATCATATTATATATTATATTATGTTATAGATTTATATTCGTATGGTTAATATATATATATATATATATGTGTGTTTACTCATAACTTATTTAAACTTTTTAGAACAAAAGATTCAACTTTCCAAAAGATTCTAAAATATATATGTTTACTCATAACTTATTTAAACCTTCTAGAACAAAACATTCAATTTTTCAAAAGATTTTAAAACATTTAACTTTCTAGAAAATATCTTTTAGAAAAACAAGTGCGCCCTAACAGAAGTCCAATTGATAGATAATTATTTTGACTTCAGTTAAATTTACTCCCTCGGGTAGAATAATGGCTAAAGAGGATTTTCCCATATGAAATTTCACATACCACCTCATAATTATTGGATAGATGATTTATTTCAAAAGGCAAAAAAATAATAGATTTTTTGGATAATTAAAATAATAGATTTTGAGTTGTCTAACACTTGAATCTCATCCCTTCATAAATTAGACGATCTTTTTATAAACTTGAGACATTATGTTTTTAAGCACGATGAATTTCCAAAATATTGGACTATGGATTAAAGACAATAAATCCCCATACTTTGGGGTCCTCAAGGTACTCCTAACTTGAGTTTTACTTGACGGAGTAAATGGATGTGTAATCCTAAATTGGATTGTTAAACACTTAGATTTTACTTTGAAAATTAAATAGCCTTCGTTAAAATTTAGTGCTCATATAGGCGCATATAGTGCAAATAGAATTATGTAAAATTTATCAAAATATGCCCAACTCATGAGCTATTTAACGTTTTCCCCATTTTCACTATTCCAACTCGCGATCACATGTATTTTGATGGAAAATTTAAAACTAAAACAAACGAAATGGACAAGTTGTTAAATAGTTTATCTCCTATGTGTATTTTGATATAAAAATATAATTTTTTAGGTTGGTTGCTAGGTTCATAAGGTCCAATTTTTTTGGTTTGAGGGAGTGAATGTAAAATATACTTCCACAAGAGCACATGGTCTTTTGGCTAATGTAATACAATATGCGTAAGGACATCATCCAATCAGTTGATTGAACGGTGATAAATGGGATCTATAAAGAAAAAGAGTTTTTGGTATAAAAGCATGGAATTAAGACATATGGTTTATGTTAAAAGCGTAAGGTGTGGATTATCACCATCCAATTATCGGTTGGATTGTGATGGAGATAGAGTAAGTTGTGGAGGTGAAATTGTGAACTTTTGACCCACCCCTCCATCACCATTCAACTAATTGATGAGATTGTGATAATCTTGTCGTCATCATGTAATATTGAGTACACGGATCATTGTATAGTCTCGTATGATCATAGTCGCAAGCTTTTTATTGGATGTCTTTTCATAAGGAAAAAGTTAATATAAGGTTGCAACTTTCAAATATAGAACTAAGGTGCACCTAAAAGAACCATCAGAATAAAGTTGTTTTTAGTATTAGAAAAAACTTGTTTTTGGTATTGGAAAACCCACCAATTGATCATAACGATATTGAGATGTATGGATTTGAAAAAAAAAAAAACCGAGTATCAAAAATAGTGCATCTTGAAACATTATCTGTATAGTATGCTACATATAACACGTTCACTTCCACTACTTGGTGGTCATAGGTATCACAAGCTATGTAATATGATGTTGTCATGCAAGTGGTTATGGAATGACATGTATAATATGGCAGTGCTATCAAAACTAGACTAGCCACTAAATCAGTCAGGGGTATGATTCAATGAAAATTGGCTTCGATTGGATTTTTAAATAATGAATAAAATATAAATAGTAGTTCAATATGTAAAATATATTACCAAAAAATAAATGTCCAATTTTGTTTAACCAATTTAACCAACTAAAATCGATCCATCCAACCGATCAAAGCCAATCAAACATTGGTTTTGACAAGCTTTTAATCAAAACTCATCTCCACTTTAAATTATACCAGCAAAGGATCTGGTTAGCAATCCGATCAGTCAAACAACTCAGTCTGGTGTGATCTTGTTAACCACGTGCCATCGTGTTGTGAGTGGGTTACTATCATGGAGGACACATACATATACAGATGAACTATATATCTAAAGGTCAGGTTTGACATGGCTTTGGCTGCACCATATTACTACTTAACAATCCATAAAAAAAAAGAGACGAGGATCCAAAAAGACTAGAGCTTTGTTCTCTTGTGATTGTTAAAAAGATTTTCATCCACAAAATTAAGATCTGGTAAGGTTGGGCACAAGCGTATGCGGTATTTAGTAGCTTATGTATGAGGTATATCACTCAGGTAGTAAGCACTCTCATATATATCTCAGATGTAGTAGCATGATATGCGAACTAAACTTCCCTGTTCCAAATAAATGAAACACAAACATGAAAGCGTGTTCAACCGCTTTAACTCCCCTTCCACAAAATAGTTTAGTGTCTGTTGGCCTTGTAGGCCAACAAACAATATTATAACTCATGTTAACATCTAATGCTATGTGCACACTCATGTGATATACTTAAAGAAAGACACAATATTGATCCAATAGGGCATAAAAAAAATATGCATGAATGGTGAGTGAGAAGCCTAAGTGGGTGAACATGCATGAAACATTGACAGATGGCCTCCCACTCGATGCTTTATCTCACATGACCAGTCAAGAGATGTTGGAATTCTTAAAACACCTCATCTCAACTACTGCCTCGAGATCTGATTTCGAGTGTACATATTGATGAATACTGGATTGATTAGATTTGTATCATACTAGGAGCTTTAAGTTCAATTTAGTTACAAAGGACATGGATTTGCATGTGTTTAGGAGGAATTTGTGTCTTCAGAACACGAGTACTACTATAAATATTTCCAATGTGCATAGGTCAAGAACATATTTTCTCAAATTTTTAGGTGAAATAGATTTATAGCAAATAAAAAATATATAAACATGTAGATTTGAGGGTGCATCCCTAGTGTAAGTGTATACTCAAGTGGACCACATCCATTCATATTTGACTTACGTTACTACATGAAAGGAGGTGGGCAGAGG